TCAAGGAAGTTCTACAAAGACAGAGGGGAGGTTGATAAGTTTCCTTAGGTCACAAGCAAAGCTGAAAGTACTGAAACACCAGATTTTTTAAGACAGGGTGCTTTTGATCAGTTTGGTAGATGTGATTGATATACACTGGTGTGCCTCCCATTGTTCAAGGTTCAGATCCATCACAAGTTTTAGGGACACTTAGCCACGGTATGGTGTGGTGTCAGACCATGAAGATACAGGACTGTAGCTGTGTAGTGGGAACAGGACCTGTTGAGAGGCTGGAGCAAGCTGTGCAGTAAATGTCAGGGCAAAGATTTGGTAAATCCTGTGGAAACTGATGATGTGGAGAGAGAAGAGAACCATTACCCTCTCTGTTTCAGTACCTTTCCAAGTGCTGTCTCTCACAAGGAATCTGTTATACCTAGGATTATCTGTGAAACTGTCTTCCTTTCTGTAGGTTCCGGGTACAGTGGTAGATTTAATTGTTAAGTGTTATATTTAAACCAGAATGAACTTTCAGCAGCTGACAATAAAGAAATCTGTAGGAAGCTTTTCTTGCATCATCACAACTTGCAGATAGCAAGTCCGTGATGCTTTCATACATCCAAGGAATCACAGGGCTTGTCTACATGAAGGTTGATGAACTGATCTGCTAGCTAGTATTGGTAATAGCTTTGTCTAGCTACAGTACAGGCATATGAGTGCTGCCTGTGCTAATTAACCAAGCCTAACTCATCTGGATTCAGTGTCACACTGACAGGGGTGTTTCTTCAGGGGTAGTATAGCATTATAGTCCTCTTCACTGTACGGTTTAGATGCGCAAAAGCTGACTTGGACTGCATTGTGCTGTGATCTGCTTACCCGCTTCTGATCTTCCACCTGTAATTACAGGACCATGAACATATATGAGGGAGAATTAAAATGGAACCTCTCCTTAAAAGCTTTTTTGTTATATTAAATGATGCGAACATTTAAGAAAAAGTAAAATTGAGTTTTTTGTGGCCCTTGTATTTACAGGGAAGCTGGTTACATGCAAATAAGTAGCAGTAAACAAAAAGTGCTACGTATCTTCTAATGTTAATAAATAGCAAAACTAGACTATTGAATAGAGTCTAGTCATAAAGAAATAATATTTTATGGGAATTTTTCTGTAATTATAGGCAAAACCATTTTGAAACCTGTTCTTCATAGGTCACAAATCTCTTAGAGATAGTGGTGATTAGAAGGTAGCAGTTGTATTGCGTAGATACAGTGGTCCATCAATTATTGATTTAATGGATTTTCCCCCATTTGTCATAGTTCCCCAAACATATTTTAAACTCCTCTGCATAGATCAATCTTTTTTCCTAATATATTTCAATTTCTGAAGGAAAGGTTTCCCCTATCTGATGTTTAGTCTTAGCTTTTATTTAAAAATTAGAAATCTAAAGTACTTTTCTTTTAAGGCTTTGCTCTTTGCCTTTTTAGTGAAAGGAGACAAAGTACCACATTTTAAAAAACACTTTGTACATAGCACATCCAGATCAGCACAGTTTGTGTTTTGTCTAGTTATGGGTTCTCTGTAACCTCGTCTCTCTATACCCAAAGCTTAAAATTAGAAAGGAGTGAAACTTCTGTAAGCTGATGTAAAATACAGGTAGCTAAGCTAAACTGCTGAACTCTTAGGCTCTCTCTAATGGAGAAAGAGTTTCCAGAGGGTGATTCATCCCATTTCTCTAATTTGGGCTTCTAACTAAGATGAATTAGTCAGTACAGGTGCATCATTCTTTAGGTAGCTAAGAGGGTGAGGAGAGTTTAATTCCACCCTCAGTCATTACTTTTCCCTTCTACTGCATAGCTGTAGTTGTTTAGAAGCTGTTCAGCCAAAGTTGAATTCAGGAGTTAAGGATGCATCTTAAGGAAATTCAGAAATCCTCCATTCATGCTACTGATACAAATTAGTGGTGATGGACCTTCAGCCTTTCCACAGAAGAGGTAATTTCGTGGAAATAGCCACTATACCATGCTTCTAGCAAATTGCCATGTGGTCGTGTACACAGATAAATTACATTGCCCAAGCAAAAAGCTGTACCATTGTAAAGAGAGCAGAGTTGAGTTCACTCAGGAAAACAGATTGGCAAAGCAGCCAGCTAAACTGCTTTAATGTGTAATGGTTTGGCTTAGTTTGTAGAATTTGTGGCAAAGCTGTGGTGGCTTGTGTTATTGTGTGTTTTGATCTGCCCTCCAGAAACTAAGAGTATGGTGTAGATACTGATTTTAAGAATTCTGATATATTGAATGTCGAGTTATTCCTGATGGAGGAGTTGTGCTTCTAGGAACAAATTACTAATATGTATCCTTTAAGTTGCAAATTTAATTTAAAATTATCATAATTTCAAAAGCATTACTGGGCTCTTGGTTTTGTTTTGCCAAGGGAAATCATCACCAAAATCTGATCTGCTGTGTGCAAAAATCTTTCAAGACTGCTTTATTTTGTTTCAACGTAACAGGTTACATCTTATAGTTTACTTTTCAGTATACTTCTCTTAATACTTCTGACTTAAGTTTTCTGTGTCATTTTTAGAAGAATGATACTGTATTCTGGGAGAAGACCAGTGAGAAGTACTATTATCTTTTTATGAAAGCGGCTATGACAGATTTATATCTCAATTCTTTTATTTTTTTATTTTCCTTTGGGAGTAAAATTTTCAGAGAAAATTACTGTGGTAGGACTGGGAATGGAGCTTCCAAATTTGAATTCGATGTTCTGCTCTTTGTATCATCGTATCACCTTTCTTTTTTATATGTCACTTAGGCTCCTAAGGGGTTAAATTCATGCACCCAGGCACAATACAAGCATGGTACAGAATTGAGATCTTTATAGAGTTTGCCATGAAGCAGCAGTAGTAATAACTTAAGTACTAACAGGTCCCTCTCTTTCTTCAGGTTTTTCAGCAGAACTTAAATGGAGGCATTTAACCTACACAATGTGAGACTTCAGGTAGCTGGGAAGCTCACATGTCTTTGCTCCTAGGAACCTGAAAAGAGCATTACCTTTGCAGTGCCACGTGCTAAACACTTGGCATAAATATCCTGACAGAGATGAGCCAGCCTCTGCATTGTCTAGGGGCTGGTTAGTACTGCACGGATAAATTATTCTCCAGGCATCCAACTTATTTTCTCTTTGTCTTGTATAAACTTGCTTACAGTTCCTTCTTATATTTCAGCAGATGGCACTATAACTTAATTTCCTTGTATGCTATCAATATCTGGATGTTTAATTCAGCTTCAGTGAATATTTTTGTGTTTGTAAATTTTAAACCTCAGTAAGGCTATAGATAATAAAAATATAATACCTGATTTGTTCATATTTGTTTTTAAGCCCTTAATTAATTAAGATAGATGAGTTTATTTGAGTTTTGGAATAGTCTAAAAATTAAGTTCTTAATTTTGCCAACTATTAACAGAAATAAAAGTTTCGCTTTTTACAGTTAAGATCTAGTGCTTCTTAAAGGTAGGGAAGAGCCAGAATCCCAAATGTCTCTTACATGCTTTACCCAAACCTTGTGGGAAGAAAAGAAGCAAATATTTACTAGTTGTTTACTCTTGAAGTTGGAGAATGCATCCAGTGCTTCAGAAACTAAAGATCTGTCATAACAGTCAGTATGCATTACAAATCTGCCTTTATTTTTTCCAGTTAAACCAATTAAGACATCTTAAACTGCAAAAACTAATTTATTAAACATAGTTTTTATTGTGTATAAATACACAATATAAAGGGAGATGAGTTAATTATACCGCACTTAGGTGTCCAGGAAGTTATATTTTCTCAGTAAATACTGAATAAAAAAGTAATGTGGTTCAGAACATTCTAGTTTGATGGATCTTTGGTGGGAAAGAAGGTGGGAAGTGTTTGCAGCAGTTTTCCATGTTTAGTATTGTTTAAAATAGATTATGTAATCCTGAGGAATACAGTCTTTATTTATCTTCCCCTTGTAAATCCCAAATTCAAGGCATCTAGGCCCTGTTACAAGAGAGAGGCTGCAGAAATATGTGCTTCGCCATATTGATCCTGTTTTCTCTTCTAACTGTGATCTACAGTGTAATATTTTTGTGTATGCATTCTTCACCAGGTACCCTGAGCCAGTTGGGGGTTGTCTGCCTGGCAGTCACTTGCACCAGCTCTGTCCTTCTTGAGTAATGTAGAGTGGATTTGATGAAAGAATCTAGTGCCAATAAAGTACTTGGTTGGCAGGGTGTGGTGTAAACATTAAGAAATTCCTTTTGAGAATTTATATAACGTTGCATGCAGGTGGAAGGTATGCAACAAAGAAGGAGATGGCAAAGCCACACAATACCAGTACATATCACAAGATGAATTTCACATAAGATAGGCACAATTAACTTCAATTTCTCCCTTCAAGTTTTTCCAAACTGAAACTTCTTAAAATGCAGTTGAGACATGAGATCTGCTTTTTTAAAATTTTGCTACTGTTAGATTGTGTTCAGTATAGATAGCCTGGTCTTTGATTTGGTACTTTAAAATCATCCCGTATTATTCTCAACCTAACCTGCAACTATATACTCCCTGGGGAAATTAAGAGGGATTAGAGGTTTGTGCATCCATGTTCCTTTGTCTTTCACAATGTAATGATGTGGATAAATATAAAAATCCATTGCAGCTGGAAGTGGACTTCTTACAACACAATTATGTTCTCTACTTCATCAGCAATTTATTTTCACTACTTTAAGAAACCGGTATTTTAGAAGAACCATGCTGATTACAAAGCTATGGTAAGGGGTTTGGCAAGCTGTAAAATAGTGAAGATGCTTCTTCACATATCTTATGATTTTTTATGCTCTATATCTTTGAAACTAGTGTTCATGAAAATACATATTTTCCATTACTGAGTTGGCTGTATCCTAACCTTGCAGTGCTCATCCTCTGTTTAAGACTCACAAGCAAGAGGAGACCAAAAGAAATATGTAAATCTCAGTGCTGCTTTCTGAACTCTTCTTTTAAAACCTGTGTTCTTTCTCTTGCAGTGAAAACTCACATGCAGCAAGGATTAATTTCTGTTGCTGCTCGTACTGTCATAACACATCTAGTCAACCACTTAGGCCACTATCCTATGAGTGGAGGTCCTGCTATGCTAACCAGTCAAGTGTGTGAAAACAATGACAATCCATACAGTGAAAGTCCTGAACTTTCTCCTGAACTCTTTGAGAACCCAAACCTTCAATTTTTTGTGTTAAACAATACTTCCCTGGTGTCTTGCATACAAATCCAAGCAGAAGATGACATGCCAGGGGGAGGACTGTCTGCTGGACTTGCATCTGCTAATTCAAATGTTAGAATTATAGTGCGTGATCTATCTGGCAAATACTCCTGGGATTCAGCCATTTTGTATGGACCATCACCTTTATGTGGGTCTTCACAACAAACATCTTTTGCACTTTCATTATCACAACAAGATACAACAGAAGATGCTCTTTCATCTTTTGAGCACGTGGAGGATGTATCTGCAAGGGATGGAATTGCACTCCAAGTAAAAAGGAAATTCAGAGACACTGTACCAACATGGGATACAATTAGGGATGAGGAAGACGCCCTTGATGAGCTCCTGCAGTACTTAGGAGTTACAAGCCCTGAATGCTTACAGAGAACTGGTGTCTCACTCAACATTCCTGCCCCTCAACCAGTCTGCATCTCAGAGAAGCAGGAGAACGATGTCATCAATGCAATCCTGAAACAACACACAGAAGAGAGGGAGTTTGTTGAAAAGCATTTCAATGATTTAAATATGAGGGCTATGGAGCAGGACGAGCCAACCTCACAAAAGCCCCAGTCAGCATTTTACTACTGCAGATTACTTCTCAGTATACTGGGAATGAATTCTTGGGATAAAAGGTAAAAAGAAAAGACAAGATTCACAATTTAAGAACTTTCTTTTAAGGAATTGTGCTATTTTTACAGTGTACTAGTAGTTGAAGATAGAGTGAGTTAAACCAAAAATACTTCAGGCCAGCCAAAAAAAGAGAACAGGGGATGTGCAACTAAGGGGAAGATGGCAGCTTTCTTCTGCAATTCATCCTGTCATTTAGAGAGACAGAAAGAAGTAGCCTGTTGCCTTTATTGCTGTTTATATTCTTCCCTAAGAACAGTGTTGGAAGGAGAATTGAAGGAGTGATATCTTTTCTAATAATCCTTTCACCAACTGAACTAAGGGGTACTTCCATGGGTAAAGAAGGCATCTTTTTTTGCTTTCTTTGCTTACCATGTACATTCCTGCAAAAACCATTAACTTTCTGTGCCAGAAAGAGACTCTGAAAGCATCATATTCTGAGCTATTGTGTTGCTGGACAGTGTCCTGCTGCTTTGCCTGCTAAGAGCATGCTTGCATGCAGCCTCAAAGCATTGCATCTGTGTTAGCTAACTAGAAAGATGTCCCCTGCTTATTAATTCAACATTGGTGGTGTTTGGGTATTGTTTAGAACCACAGGAGACGAGACAGGTTTAGTTACAAAAGTAATGTCTCTGATTACATTATTATTTTTGTGTGGCTGTAGTTAGGTGTGTGTCTGCATATACATGTGGGTCTGTACAAATATTAGCATCCTAGAATTTGAGGGTCTTTCTGAAATCTTCTTTTGCCATAGCTGTCAAATTCCATGTTAGAGGCACTGAAATATTTTCCTGCTATGAAGAGAAATGGATATTCTGTGAAACAAAAATAATCTGTGTCACTGAGATGTCGCTGGGATAGACAAAATTTTAATGTTATAACCCTTCTTATTTGGGTCTTTAATTCCTCAAGGCAGTCTGGTTTTGAACAGTACTGCACTTAAACTCTTCCAGTCTGTTTTGCGGGAAACGTCTTCAAGTGCAGTTTAAAAGAAATTAGAAGTACCTTTCTTGCTGTAACATATTGTCTTGTTTTTTCATTAAATGGTCACAGTTGGCTGGGTGACTAGTGAGCTATGTTCGGCTCTCTTCTGCAATTCAGAATAGCAAAAGCTCTGTGTTTGCTGCACTAGCTCCCTAGGACAGTAGATTATGGGAGTGTCTTTTGTCACTAAGCATATATATTTTGGCCTAGTGTGCAGCTCACATATGCATTAAAGGGAGTTCTGCCTGAACTGCTATAGAGCAGAGATTGATCCCAGTTGGATCCAACAGGTTAACAGAAGTAAGGGTTGTACTTAGGGCTATAATGGGTGTAGAAGATTTTCTGGAGTAGAAAAAATTGCTTGTATTTTTTTTAAAAGACATCTTAATATTTTATATAAGAAAGGACTATTGAAAAGCAAAAGCATTTGCTGACTGTTCTTGCATAGACCTGGATATGTTCTTGTACAGTTCTTGTACTGTTCTGTATCCATCACTGAACAAGTTATAAGAGAGTTACGTATTTCTCTATTTAGAAGGAGCTTTCATCTCCTGAAGAAAAACGAGAAGTTACTTCGAGAACTCAGAAATTTGGACTCAAGACAATGGTAAATTCTTTAATGGTTGCCTTCTTATTTGTTTTAAGCATACTTGTGCTTAAATGGCTTTAATTGCGTAGATGTGAGAGTTGAACTATTTTTTTAAATAGTGTTCTAAATTATTCATGTGTTTTGCACTGTATTGTAGTTATTGGTGTTACAGTGAAATTACATTGGTGTTATTTGTGGAGTGAAACTCTACAAGTAGAATATCATGAGACAGAACAAACTCAAAATAACTGAAAATTATGAGCATTTTTATGCACAACATGGAATAGTTTTAAAACTTTGATATATGAAAGTCTCCACATTTCAAGCTTTGGCTAATTGTTCAGCTGTTTTCCAATGCTGTTAGTATATGAAGACATGGAATTCTAGTTGGAGTTGTAGCACAGAATTAAACACTTTGTTTTTGTAAAAGTTAAAATAAAATCCAGTGGATGTTTTAGAAGTGTGAGAAACCACCTTCAGTTGCTCCAGTGTCTCACAGTAAGCTGTGAACAGAAGACATTGCTATAGTACTTAAAAGATTCTTCATCCAGTTGCATAAGCTGCCTTTGCCACTGCATTCACAAGGCACTGTTGTTAACGGGCAGCACAGGGTCAGTAATGCCTGTGGTACAGGATTTGCTCATTTCAGAAGCCCAGCATTCCATTAGCAATTGGTAACTGCCAGCACCATCCCACATCTTAGAAGCGATGGCAGGGGTAAATGCTGTTCATGTGTTGCAAAACTCTAAGCTCTAGAGAAGACCAGACTGGAAGAGACAGAATGGCAATATGGAGATACAGAAGACATTCAGAACGAAGCTATATAGTTGTACTTCACTTCTGCTGTCTTTTTTGATGTTTTAAAAGCCACGCTCTGTGTGTACTCGGTACATTTTTTGGTTTGTATCAGTAAAGGCAGAGTTACGCAGTGACCATCCTCTGTTTTACAGCCGAGAGACACACAAGATCGCAGTGTTTTATGTTGCTGAAGGACAAGAAGATAAACACTCCATTCTTACTAATACTGGGGGGAGTCAAGCCTATGAGGATTTTGTAGCTGGTCTTGGCTGGGAGGTATTTATTAAAATGTTTTTATGCTAAGTTTGTTTACAGAGAAAACTACAGATCCATTTAGATATTATAAGTCTTTGGCTAGCATTACCCACAAGTACTGAAATACACTGTTTTGCAAGTAGAATGTAGAGACTAATTCTGGTTTTAATTTTATTAGCAGTACTAGCTATTTAATTTTAAACTCTTTCAATTTAAGAACGTTTGTGCAGGCAGAGATGATTCTTTCATGTGCAGTCCTGTACTTGGCTTCCATGGACTGATTAAGAGGCTTCTTGACTTCCTGGTGGGCCTGTAAGGTGTTAAATCCATTGAAATTTGAGATTTGCTCAAATTTGGGCATCCAAAAAATATAAACATGAACTGCTTTGAGCAACCTGGTCTAGTGTAAGGTGTCCCTGCTGATGGCAGGGGGGGGTGGAACTAGATGATCTTTAAGGTCCCTTCCAACCCAAACCATTCTATGATTCTCTCACACTCCCTTTTTCCTGCCTTCTACTACAGGCATGTATGTGTTCACACACTCTGCTCCATGTCGCTTCCAGTAGTCAGACATCTATATGAACCTACAACTCTTAAGTCACTAATTAAGATACTGTTACGAGGATTTCCTTTTTTGCATCCTTTCTTTCTGACTACACAGGATTAACTTCCATTGTAAAGTTCAACTTGGCACTGTCACACAGAAGTACAGGAATCAGTCCTGCTCCTGACTGACTGCATAAGAATCTGCAGGTTTTCTGTTCCTCTTGTGTTCATCAGGAGCATCCATCTTATTTGTTCTTTTACTTATGCCTTGGGTGTATCAGAGCACTGCTAGATTAACTGTGTGGATAATGGCTCTGACTTTTTCAAAGAAACAGAGGAAAACTGCTAGAAATCTGCTGACTGTCATAAACACATGTTTATTTCCCACATTCTTGATTCTTCAGGAGAAAAAAAAAATCACACTGTCTTCAAATATCTTTCCTAAGTGGGTGAATTCTCTTAGCCTTTATTAGCTAGGTTGAAGTGTTACTAGTTTGGATTAATATTCCATGATGAGACATTTAATATTTTAACATCTTAACATTAAATTCTGGATCCTTTATTAACAGAAAAGCAAATATATCCCATGTGGGCAGAGATCAAATGTATTCACATCTGACATATAGCTTTTTTTAGGCCCTGTTGTAAAAGTGAAATAGCACATTAAGCATGCTTACTTATTTCAGTGCCAAACTATTTCTGATAGAACTGGGACTTACAGACTTATTTACAAATTATCAGTTAGTTTCCTGTGACTTTTTTCACATTCACAGAAGGAAAATTTCTCAAGAAAATATATGGAAGGCAGCAAGACAATTTAAAATTGTCTGTCTCTCACACAGGTTTTCTTCAGAGCTCAGGCCAAGGCTGATGTAGTATCACAGAATTTTAAAAAAATTTAAAAGCACACGTAAGTGACTACAGTTAACTGATCTGGGAATAATGCAGTCAATATTCATTTACACAACCTTTCCTTTTCTCCAGCCTCATCTTCCCAGCAGCATCTTTGGTGACTGTGGAATATAAAATGCCACTGCACTGCAGTTGATTTCCAGTCTAGTTAGCAAGTCTGAGCTCTTTTAGAAGAGCGTAACTGTACTATTGTGAAAAGGGCCTTCACTTTTAAAAATTTGGTTGAAGATGCATTTCAACGTGTAAAGAATGTATCAATCACCTGATTTTTTATTTTTATTTTTTCCTTCCTAATGCTTTCTGGGCTTTACTTCTAGGTAAATCTCACAAACCATTGTGGCTTTATGGGAGGACTGCAAAAAAACAAAAGCACTGGACTGACCACTCCTTATTTTGCTACCTCGACAGTAGAAGTAATGTTCCATGTGTCAACAAGGATGCCTTCTGATTCAGATGACTCTCTAACAAAAAAGGTGAGTGTTTCGGAGTATTACCAAAAAGATTTTCTTTTGGTAATAAACCCAGAGAAATTAAGAGTCAAAGAAATTCCAATAACTTTTTCTAAAAGAACCATAAAATATCATAACATCTTTATCTGCTAATAGTTGGTATTTTACTGAAGTAGGTTAAGCCATATAAATCATTCTCTACCAATATCTAATTTTGCCATACTGGTGATTTTTACCATCATTGCAAATGTTGGCAGGATGACATGTGAAGTGGTGAAAGATGAAGGGAGGTAATGGTTTGTGTAGAAGAAAAAGCATTAAGTCTGAATGATGTTGTAGTACTTCAAAACTTTAAATGCCAATTAATAAATATGTGGTGAGTCCTTGCTAAGATTACTTTTTATTCACTTTGGAGTCACATGCTGTCTATTAACATAATTTTCCTTTCAAAAAAAAAGTTAAAAATATTGAGAATTCGACAATGTTGTATGTAAGGTGTTTTGTCTTAGTGCAGGCACAAATGCTCAACAGCGATATGATTGCTCATAGCCACATTAAGAAAAAAATGGTTTTCTGTACTGGTATTTTTTTCTTTAGAATTTAATAAATTCGACATTAGTTATAATAAGTTACAGTCTCGAACATGTGTCCTATTATAAATGAACAATTGGCTATCATTAGACTGTCCCCTGGCCTGCGTACATACATCTTCAGATGTGCTAATCCATTCAGTAGACACGTTAATGAGCGCTGGTTGAAGTGTAATATTGGAGGAACTGAAGCTGGTTGACCTCAGCGTGGAGTTTAATACTTGTAATTAAATTAGACAGTAGACAGTTAGTAAAGAGAGAAATAGCCATGCCTCTGGCAAGCTTCAATTATTAATGGCTTTTTTGTTCTTTGTGTTCAACTTGAAGAAAAAATATTATTGTTATTGTTATCATTGTAGACTTACTATGAGTTCAAACTTCTCACTGTTGCATCTTAGGTTGGTTTGTTTGGTGTTTTTTTAAATTAAAAAGATGTTTTTTCTTGTATACCTATGGTGCTGGGTCCTTTCTGTTCTTTATTTCCTGAAGTAGAGCCAGGATAATACTTAGGTTGTTAAATGATTTATAAAAGTGGTTTAATAGCAAAAATAATTTTAAAATAAGATTGTTGCTATTGTTCTAGTATAGAACAGTATGTGTGTATATATATATTTTTCTAAGTTGTCTGGCTTCTATATTTTTTAAACAGAAACTTAGTTTTATAAAACACAGCTTGTAATTATCCTTACAATGTTTGTTTATAAACTGTTTGAATTAGAGTATTAAAAAGTGCTGACAAGGGGGAAGATAGGTCACAGTTGAAAATTAATTAATAATAAATAATTTGCAAATGCTGTGGACTTCAGCAGAACACACAGGCAAGATCTCGTGTCTGTTTCCAGGAGTACCCTGAATCTACATACAGCTGTTCCTGCAAGGCAAGGTTCAGAGTGGTCCAGGCCTCCTGTGATTTAGCTTGTGAAAATGGTGTCAACTGGACTTTTCTAACAACTCCACCTTGCCCCAGGCCTATTTCTCTCCTACTTTACCCACAATCTCACTTTTCAGTAATTTGGAATATTTGAGGTCTGTATGAATAGGTAGAGTGTATCAAAAGATTGTGATTACATTTGTAGCTCAGTTACTGATGGGCTGTTTAATCAAGCTACTTTGTTTCTGTGTGGTTTTCTTTCTTGTTCTTCCTTGTTGTGTGATTTTTTGTTCTTCTTTTTAAGCCCAGTTTCCCAATGAATGGAGGCTTGTGACCCTGCCTTTATGTCTGTCTTCCCTTCCCTAGCACCTTTTGGCCCATTTCAATCAAATTCAATAGAGACAAGTTTCAAGGATGTTAATTGCACGTATGTTTAACAAAGATAGGCTAAGTAAAGGAGATAGAGTGAAAGAGACTCTTAGTGCTCCTACTCAGCAAGTAAAGACTGCATGGGAAGAAGCATTAGACATCAGGGAACCAGTACCAGAGAGATGCTGTGAAAGTCATCTCAAACTTCAGAAAAGCATTAACTGAAGTTTGCATCTTGGGAGAAATGAGCAAGTGGTATCAGGAGACATGAGTAGGAAAAAGAGACTTAATTCTTTTAATAGTCCTGCAACTACTCATGCTGCTTAGACTGAACACATCAGCAAAATAAATGTGTTTTGTGAGGTGCTGTCCAGCTCACACACGCTATTGGGGACCTCAAAATCATTTGAGAGCTGTGTGTGTGCTAACAATTGTAGTTGTTCTGAGTGCATGTACTGTTCATGACCTCCAGAGCAACTTGAGTTTTCAGCTTCTGTACAGGCCTTTCATGTGTTTCTTTGTCTCTTTCATTCAATGGGAGAAAAACAGGCAAACTTGCAGTAGTTGGCTTAGAACTGCTGCTGTTTTTTATATTGTAAATGTGCCTAGAGGTGCATGATAGGTCCATCTTATAAATGGAAATTAAATTAAATTAAAACAAAACTTCTTCCTGCCAGTTCAGCCACTGCAAAATCAAGATTCTGCTGTTTCAGAGGCTAAGCCAATTTTAAACTTATTTTCTATCAGTCTTACTGAGTAGTAAATAAAACTTTTAAGTGTCTTGGATACCTCTGAAGCATTTGTTTCTGGAGACATGAACAACAGCAAGAAAAAACATGAATTCAGGGAGAACAGATTAAAATCTTCTGAATGTGTAAAGGAACTTAACATTGAAATTAATATGATAGGTATTTAATTTGGAAATACTAAATTAAAGATTTAATGCTGCTAATGCAATCCATTTTGTTTTTCTTAGAATTAAAGGTTAGACTAAAAAGTATTTACACTACCCTTTCAAGAACAAACTTGCAAAGAAAATATCAGGATTAAATGATGCTGTGAAGATTCTCAGTTCACAGAGTGAGAAAGCTCATGTATGTGCCTCTACAGCTTATCACCTGTCTAGCTCCTCCTTCCTTAGCCTGATACAGGAGTGAAGGCATTGTAGGTGAGAATATTATACCCAAGATATGTAAATATATTTAGTAATGTTATTAAAGACTGGAATACTAATTTATCATGGGCTTTGGATGTATAATGTGATTCTAGGTTATGTGTGACATTGTCCTAGCCACATCAAAGATGTATAGCTCCCAGTGTTTATAGTTAGGTTATTGTGGTATGTATTAGGAACTTGAAGATTTATAGATGTAAATTATTAGTCCAATATTTTTTGGCATTACAATTAAGTACTTATGTTGTTTAAAAAAAAAAACCCAACAAACACTCCACAGTTGTTAAAACAAAGTTTTGTGAAAAATTCAACTAGAGGGGATGTACGCTGTAGACAGCAGTGCTGTTTACATTTAATGGGCAAAAGTAGCTGCAGTAAGCCATTACTTCAGATGTTTCTACTCCTTCTGTTCTTTTTATCATGAACACCTTAATTTTTGAAGAAGAAAAAAGTTGGGGCTAGCTGTTGTATCATAAGAAAATATAATAGCCTTTTTTCTCCCTCCTTTAGGTAAGTAAGTATTAGAAATTACAGTAATTTTGGCAAGAGTTCAAGGGTTAATGCAACAGATAAATAAAAGGAATTTTCTGTAAATTGAGCCCTGCATTATTTCACTTGTCTTGCCTTTCCAAACCTAACTTATTTAATTTTAAAAAGTAAATACTTAAATTCTTCCTGACAGTGTGCTTTGCTTTTACTATCGTTTATTACTTCAATTATACTTGATATCACTTAGAACAATCTGCCATTTGGAAATTTCAGTATAGCCTGCAGCTTAGTATTAAGTCTGGCTGCTATTGTAACATGTACAGCATATGACACTAATGTATCAAAATTAGATTTGATCATCCCTCCTGGTTATATTTATTTCACGTTTCTTTTGTATTCAGTTAACATAAATGTATTAGGAGAGCTGACACATGATGATGGCTATAGAGTAAGAATATTTTAAAGTATTTTGAGTTAAATTTGAAATTTCAGGTAACCTAACAGTCGGTCATTTTTATATATTTGTTTTTATGGAGTAGAGTTTGAAAGCAAGCCTAGAAATATCTGTTTGTCTCTGACATCTCCTCAGGGCTGTCTTCCCGACAGCTTAGGTTCAAAATGGCTAAAACAGAGCTCTTAATCTCTTTCTCATTGCCACCTTCCTGGATCACCACGGATAACATGACCATTGTACCTGTCACTTGTCCCCATAGCCTGAAATCATCTTTAATTTGGTCCACTTTCTGGATTCTTAGATTCATTCTGTGCTTTAGCCTCTGTTCTTTTTCCTACATAACATTTATTGCAACATAACCTTTCCATACACACAGTTAAAATTTATCCACTAAGTCCTAAATGGTTGTTTTGATTGCTGAACCTTCCTTTCTCTGGCCTTGACACTTTCATTCTTGAAGAATGCTACTATAGAAGACATTCTTCTGATCTGTAACTCAGATTGTATTTGTCCATCTCCATTTTGTGTCTTGCCTTATGTCTGGATAATAAACTCTCTAGAGCAGTTTGATCTGCATTTACGCAGCATTTAACATTTTAGAATATTGGTATGTAACCTATAGTTCCAGGTGTTTCAGCCCTAGTGTATTACTGGTCACTTAAAGTATAACATTATTTTAGAGATTTTTGTTACTTATATTGTTGTTATGCCTTACGTGTCTAGTAAGGATCTGCGCCTTGTTTTGCTGACTGTGATTTATGCACATACAGAGTTCTAAATTTAGGAAGACAAGGGCAGGAAATGAGTGTGAAGATGTAGTGGCTTGCACAACTGGTGGTGCTTCGAGTAACCATCGACCCAGATTTCAGTGGTGGTACCTGTACATTCTGTGTGCACCAAATCTGACTCTGTTAGATAACGTTGGGTCCACACCTTCTCCTTGGGAAATGATGTTGCTCTCTGTCCTTTTGGTTTCAGTGAGCAAAGGTGGTTGTAGTTCAGTATCTTTGTACCACTTTTGTCCAGGGCACAGAATTTTGGGGTGTTTCCAATTCAATACAAAAACATAAAGAATCCAGATTAAAGTTGAAAGAGGTCAGGCTCCAGCTCTCCTGTGGTGTAATAATTACAGTGAATGATGGATTCTCCAAATTTTTGCTGTGCTTGCAGGAGAGCTGTGTTGTGGAGCACTGCTCAATTTCAAGGTCGTCAATAAGGAACTGAAAAATGAAGATGAAAAACTGAAATTCTTCTTTCTAAAGAGTTTATTCAAATCCTAGCTGTCTTTGGAAAGCTTTTCAAGACAGTTTCAGGTATTGGACCTCTTCCATGAATCAAGTGTTGTTTATGAGTCAGATTACCACCATTCAAGATTTCTTATAAGCTCTGCTTGCTGACCCAGGTGAGGACATCTGAAAGAAGCAATAAGGAGCCCTGTGTTAGCGTCAGAACTTCTTCATGATCTACTCTTGAAAAAGGAACAGAATGACTTATCCAAAATTTAATTATTCTCCAAACATAAAAATGAAACCACCAACACCCAATCTTGTTTACTTGTCTATTATTTTTGTCAGTCCTCTACCTCCTATAATGGAAACAAGGCATTGATCATACTTTTAATCTTGAGTACTTTACACCTTGCTATAAACCACCTTTCACAGTTTATACCATCATCCACCTACTTTCACCATCTGATTTTGACTCCAAATCCATTATATGTCACAGGGATGCCATTCAGGACTTTACTCAGACTGGATTTTGTCAGATCATTCTTGGTAGTAATCATGAGTTGAAACATATCTGACAGGACTTTGAACTCATTGGAATAATATGATTAATTTTCCTTTTCCTCTGAAGAAGTTAGTGCTTTAACTTGGAATGTATCCCCACACCTCTATGGGAGTATAAAACAAACTTTGAAATTGGAGAGAAAAGTCACTAGTGGTTTCAGTACGCTTCACATCCGAAAAAACATGTCCCTTGTCAGTAGTCCTCTTCCTGAAGTAACCACAAAATACACTCTTATCACACCAAAATCTGTCTGTCTGATGTGAAAGCATGCATCACTAGTGATGCTGTCTAGGTGTCTTTCACAGAAGTGCAAGAATTGATTGATGTCCTGTCTGATTACCTGCTGGTATCAGTAATGGGTACACAGGGGAAAACCTTTCAGAAATGAAATTCAGAGGCAGTGATGCCCTCAAGAAGATGCACTATCTAAACTTTCTATATGCTTTGTATTTTAAAGCCATTTATTTGGCACGTACGCTGTCATTGTCCCTTGTTTGTAACAGTGTATGAATTTGTTGTCTTTCAGTCCCAAGATAGTAAGTAAAGGAGGGATAATTCTTCTAGTAAATAGTTCAATATTGCTGAAGTGGGAATGGTGCAGTGTGGTGATGGGTGTATTGGTCCTGGTTCTTTTTGTCAGTCAGTTCAGTGAGTTCAGTCAGCGTACCAGATGGCCCCCATCCTTCAGTCTAGGATCATGTAGTTTTTTCATGTTCCACAAGGTTTCGTATCTAAACTGATTTGCCTCTTTGCTTTCCCTTTGGTTAGGCAGACTGATCCTGCCTGAGCTTTTTGCTTGCTTCTCAATGCGAGCCCATTGGTCCCTCATGCCCTCCTGTCAATGTCATGTTTCAACAGATAGTTTGACTGTCACTTCACCTAGTGAAGGCAGGAGAGGTTCAGGCCCTCGGAACACTTCCACAGTTAGTTGTCTTCTACGACATTCATCACTGCTAAGTGTCATCCAAGGTTTCTGCAGCTGGTGTTTGCGTGTTGCACATCAGTCATTCAGGTTGCTGCCTGGTTTTGTTCTAATGTAGTCAAATAAAACTCAGCATAGAGAATGTTGTTATATAGTCTTTTGTTGGGCTGGGTTTGCTGTTGGCACAAGAGCATCCCTAACTAAGTGTTGTTCAAAGTAATTCAGCCATCTACAAAAGAGGCAAGAACAGCTCACTTCAAAGGAACTGCAATCATTGGAGATTAGATGTATGTAAGATCTGGTCCAGGCAAAACAAATGACTTGTTAATCGTCAGACAAGATGTAGGGTATTGATGCCATCTGTCCTTTGCCCAGTCCAACACTGAAAAAAATCCTTTTCTTGTAGAAATGTTGTACTATGTTTCTCAGTCCGATACAATTTAAAACCAGCAGAGAAGAGCAAGAGGCGGCTTTTTTTTCCCCTTTTTCCTTTTCTTCTTTTCTTTCTTTTTTCTTTTTTTTTTTTTCTTTTTTCTTTTCTTTTTAAAGTTTGCTGCTGACAGCCTTCAGATAAGACAAAGGTAGCATTCCGGGAGGTTTTGTAATATAAACAAGTGAATACTTGCAATGAAATTTCTCCGATGACTGTGTGTATGTTTGGCTTTTATTTAAAGTGCAGTTATGCTCTGAACATGAATACAGAAAATTGTTGCTTTTCTATATACAATAACTTCTTGTAAGTGCTCAGATTAGTATCTGCATGTTACCTGTTAACAGCAGTTCACAGTGCTGTCATTTGAGTAACGTCAAGGCAATTGTTTGACAAATTCTACCTACCTAAAGCTGTGCAAACAAACTGTGAGTGAAGACAATTGTCAGCTATAACTGCTGATGCACAAGGAGGAAGAAATGAGATTCCATCGTGAATTTTCAGAAATAACCCTTACTGGAGAAAATTCACATTTAATAACCTGAATGTATTTGATCAGTATACATAAAGCCTCTCTCCACGATGTTAACATTTGTTTATCAGATGGTAATTTTCAGCAGAAGGAACATTTTGGAGTTTCAGTGCAGATAATTCCAAAGTGTTCAAGATATTCCTTAATCTGGTTATATGATTACAACTGAGGATACAGCATGGATTTTGAGGAACCCATTTGGCCATTCTGAGCCAAATCAAGAGCGATTTTGGATTTTTGGGGGGATGGAGTGAGTTATTTTTATAAAGGTATGCAGGTTTCATGGGAAATTTTTCTTTATTTCTTTTTAGTGGATTTACCCTTTTGAAATATGAGTATTTAGTGTAGCTGCAGAATATATTTAAACTGATGGGTTTTTATCCCTGCTTTTCCAGCTAAGACATTTAGGAAATGATGAAGTACACATTGTCTGGTCAGAGCATACTCGAGATTATAGAAGAGGAATAATTCCAACAGAGTTTGGTGATGTTCTTATAGTTATTTATCCCATGAAAAACCATATGTTCAGTATCCAGATCATGAAAAAGCCTGAGGTAAGGAGTTTTTTCTTTCATGTTTACTTTGTATGTTTAATATGAACTGAGTTTTTTCTTTAGAGCCTTGAATTTTTGCTACAATAGATTGGTCCAACAAGGTGATGTGTGTCTAACATTGATAGTTGCAGTGGTGGTAGGAGGAAGAGGAAGAACTCAGTGAGTACAATGCATAGTAAAATTGGTAACTTGAAATTGCAAAGGCCTGATCCTGTCAAGCATATCTGCTAACATCATAAACTGGAAACCAATGTAGAATATTCTGTATAATCATTTAAATATTAAGATAAACTTGGTGAACTTTTTTATCAAATTTGATATGTAACTGTGGGAGTTAGTAGCCTGCTCCAGCTTTCTCCATCTATGTCATATTCTTCTTTCTTCTTCTCAAAGCTAGTTTTCACTTTTTCCTTGACTCCACACAAGAATTTGGAGGTTAAATCGGGAAAGCAAGGCCATTCAGCTCTAAGGCATATGAACACACACCCTTTCTCATGACTGTTCCTCAAATGTCTGTTCTGACCCTGTTCTTAAAACAGTGGTTTAGGGTAGTGAACACTGACTGAATAAAAGTAGTCATGAGTGTTTGTACTGCATAATTTCTGTGTGTGATGTCACTTGCCATGAATTTCTATACTTTAAATATTAAAATTCTTTCTAGAAGCACTAATATTAATAAATGAGGTATGACAGAAATAGGATTCCCTCTATATGATGACTGCCTATTTCTGACAATAGGCATGAAATGATAGCCAGTACATGGTCTTATTATTACTGGGTTGCTTATGTTTTTAACTAATTAGTGCATTCTTTCTCTTACTGCTTTAAGTACAAAGAGTTGTATTATTGAGGATGTATAGGGTAAGAAGGAAAAGAAAACTGCTGAGAGCAAGAACTGTTGTTAGTCCAACAAGAGGTCCTTGTATGTGGGAAAAGAAGTGCCTTCCATCAGATTTCAGTATTTTCAAAACTACATTAAATAACTGATGGCAAAAATAATACAGGGATCTAAAATTCTTTTGCAGCATTGGTTTCATCTTAGCAGGAAGAATATTTACTGTACACTCTGCTCCCTTTGCTGACCTGATGTGCAAACTTTGCTCTTCACATACTTTATGCTAACAGCTTCAGAACTTTATTCACACATGAAGGAAATTAAGATACTTAATAGAATTTTAATTTCTTTTTCTTTTAATTGCAAAATTATGATTGATTAGAAAAGAATGTAATACTAAAACATAAGTTCTGTAAACCTTTTGGGTGCTACATATACTAAATGTCAGGGTTTTCTATGGTTCTCACAAATAAGGCTTTACACTTAGGGCCCAAAAAGGCCAAACTTTCACCAGATTCCTCCTGTAAAGGGTTTACAATCTATTTGTATAGATACTGTAGAAAGGAAGAAGAACAGATAGAAAAAGAAAAGAAAATGGAAGGTGAGGGTGGGTCCACCCATAATTATATGACAGTTGCACGTTGAGGTGGTCTTTATGGACGTGTTATATCTAAAGCTCTGATAAATATTATTTTAAAATTTGAGTAATTATTCCTTTTGCTTACTACCACCTACAATATTGTCATCTAGCCTTTCAACCTCATAAACATCCTGTGCATGACTGTTCCTAGGATTTGGGCGGCAAATTTTGGGAATAGGCTTTGATGAAACAGAGTATTCAAATGGTTGCTTAATTTTCTTCAAATGCTGTGTTATCTGTTACCAAGGATATCAAGCAGTTATATGGCTGTATATTTCCACAAGAGAAAGGGTCTGTCATGGAGCACAATAACTGGTCTGATTATCTAACAATGAGAAGAAAAAAAATTATATATTTGAGTGCTCTATTGTTAATGTTGATTGCTAATTGTTATAGCTAAGATCTTGCTTTATATTGATTTTCTTAATTTTTTATTCAGGTTCCATTTTTTGGTCCACTCTTTGATGGTGCTATTGTGAATGGAAAAATTCTTCCTATTATGGTTCGTGCAACAGCGATAAATGCAAGCCGTGCATTGAAATCATTAATCCCATTATACCAAAACTTGTATCCTTTCACTCAAACGGTTTCCAAGGCATATACATTCCCTTGCAGTTCTACAGATATGATCATGTTTTCTGTCATCTTATATCTTTATGAGATTAACATAGGGAAAATACTTTCCATTTTTTATGGTGGTGGTGCCACTAAGAAACTTGAAGCCATAGAAGATAATTCAGAAAAGACCAGCTTTTTCAGTGAGTGAAGAATAGATTCAGTGCTGAAAAATTGCCCATTTCTAATATTTTATAATGTGTAATTTTCACTTCTTGTTAAACAAAATTATTTTAATGACCATTTTATGAGTAGGCTTTCTGAAATAGCAATGCCATGGTGTTAATAATCTTTCTTTCCTTAAAGATATTTAGTATTTATCCAGTATTATTGTGACTTAGTTTTGTTTTCAGGTTTCAAGAAGGCTATGAATGCTTTTTCCTTCAAGGTGAGAAATTTGTTATGTTTTTATCATACAGATTTTGTTATGCAACTCAGAATACAAAGTTGTTGTCAAACAGATGTTGGTGTCTTTGTAAAGATGTCAGAAAATATTATCCTTTTTTTTTTTGTGTCGTTGGAACTGAAATTGTTGTTTTTTGAAAGGGCTGCTCTTGGAAGAATGAATTTACCAACTGTAAATTAAAAAAACATAGGGTAAGTCAATCACTGATACCTCTCCCCTTCTTAAGATTGTGTCTGTTATTTAAATCAAGAAGATACTCTTTTTTTTAATTTCATAAATTGAAAGGTAAGTTTAAATTTTGATCCAAAAAGAAATTCTGTGCTTCATTTCTGCTCAAGCTGTAGATACTTGTATTTGTCATTTGATAGATTGTTGCTAAAATACTTTGTTTGTTCTCAGGCTGACTGTTAATACTCAGAGTTTTGGATTAGATATGATGAAGTGAATTTACAGATGAATGATGGATGGTGTTTGACGTGATCACATTAAATGACGTTTGTGCCATTTCTGTAGATGACAGATGTTGATTCATTATATTTGTGTATTTGGAAGGGTCCGATCTTTTTGTCATTACTCAAGTGGCTTAATCAAAGAATTTAAAATGTATTATCATCATTATACCATGGAAAGTGATGGCTTATAGCATTACATTGATGTATAGTGATGAGCAATTGGAAAACTATTTTCTTTGAAAAAGCAAACTTTCAGTACCAAAAAATCCCACTAACTTGTATTTTTAAACTTCTTTACGGAATATGGAAGTTGTAATAAATTCCTTGGACGTAGCTTGCCAGCTCAATGTCTAGGAATTAGCCAGTTCCTAAGAGTTGTGTATTGCACATTCTCTTTTAAGTCAGTTCTCCAAATTGTATTTTTTATATGCATCAAAGCACTGCATGTCATTTATGACATAACGTGGCCTCCATTAAAATGTTGACATATGTCTCCTAATATGGTTAGCATGATAACTGGAAAGCATTGCATATAATTACTATTAGACAGTATTGGTTGATGGGTTTTGTACCATTACTTGATAAGATTATGAAGCACCAGTTGATTGGGTATTGATGTTAAAGGGCAGCTTTGTTAAGTGGTTGGTGGAATTCTTTCTCTCCCTGGCTTGGAGTATCTTATATTTAGTGCTTTGTATAATACTTTTAAAATTAAAATGGGGGTTTGGGCTGTTCTTTAAAAGCTGTTTACTTGGCATGAAATTAGAAAAAACTTTACAAACTTCCCTGGCTTCAATTAGGCTATGGTGGACTCTGTTGTGTCAGTGGAGAACAGCAAAAAAGTGTTAAACTTCAAAGTTTGGCCTAACTCTCAGTGATTTTAAAAAAACTCTTGATTATAAACGTCATGGACATGCTCTTTGTGTTCAACCCATGGCCAGATTTGAGGTCAAAAAGGAATTTCCCCCATAAAAGAATGGCAAAGACTGATGGGTGTTTCCTGTAACATGGACATGGTCTGTTAACTAGGACTATTTGAAAATTGAGTCTAATTATGTTCCTGAAATAGCGGGGAATTTAAGACGTCAAGGATTGTCTTTGGTGTCTCCTGCTTTTTTCCTCTGGCATACTTTAGCTATGGCTGTAGCAGTTCACTACTGGCTTTTAAGTTTGGAGTATTTAATGGTCAGTAGTTAAATAGCTTTTCTGGAGAACCCACCAGACTTAACGTCTCTTGGTGAAGACAGAACTCATTGATCAAGGTGGTCTTTGTGTTGGAGTGTTGCTGGAGTGGTGAGCTTAGAGTGGTGAAAACAAAATGTTCGAAGAGGGAGGAGAAAAAGAACAGAAAAGCTATTTTTCAGTAGGTACACCGAAAGAAGAGACCCAGCTGGAAAAGTGAAGCTGATTATCAAGGTTTTCCACATGTCTGGGACCATAACGTTGTCAGTGAAAGAGAATTCTGAAGTGATCTGCTCAAAATTATTTTTTGTTTACTTACTTATGAGTATCTAATGTACTGGAGCAGTGTTAATTTATTAGGAACTTTGATGGTTAGAAGAAATTCAGTTTAATGTGGATCCTGAGGGAACAAGAATTACTCGAGAGTTCTATCAAACAGAATACATTTCAAGCCCTACACTTCTGTATTAGCTCTCTTAATTTCAAAGCCAGCATAAGTGTATGGATGACTCCGTGCCTGCAGAGGTGTGGTTCATTTCACTGTGCTGTGTAGTACGAGGTGGGCACCTTTTGACTCAGTGTGGAGTTGATGATGATGTGTAGGTCTGTGCTTATCCATATTTAAGAAATACTTAAAATGTCACATTGCAGATCTTTGTGGTGAGGATGGATCATGGTAAACTCTTAATCAAAAAGTAGAACTGTGTTGATTTGCTTGCATATGGCATGTGAAGAAAGTGGCACTGAGTTTGACCCTCCTACTTCTGAGGAGGGCTTATTGGTCCTCTTGAGTTAGTGCATTTTCTAAGTGCAGACCTGACTGAAAAAAAAATCAGCTGTCATTTGTAATCAGCAGGGATATTCAGTCCTCTTCATGTAACCTGATTGCAACTTTTTCCTTATTGCGCTGGTCTGTTAATCACGATGTGGCAATGGGTGGTACGTGTGAATAGTATAATAATGGTTGCATGGATACAGGAAATTCTGCTCATCTCCCTTTTATAGTCTGCCCCGACTTTGAGCATGTATTGTACAGTCTGAAGTAGCTTTCTGAGACTGACGTATCCTGTCAATCACCTTCCTCTTTCTGACATTATTTTGCTACTTCTGATAGCAAGCTTAGATAGCAAAACATTTTGAAGATTTGATTTTTTTTAAATGATTTCTAAAGATTTCATCTGCTCTGTGTTTTTATGCTTTGCTACGAGTACTATAATAATATGTTTCCGTATTGTAGTATTTTAAAATAAAAAATTTACTCAATTTATCAGCAAATATCAGTCAGGTTTGCTGCTTTTATCATGGCAGGTATCCTGCTTTAACTTGCTGCTGGACATTTTCATTGCTGCAGCTGCGTTGCCATTTTGGGTGGAGTTTCTGCACTCATTTGCAGAATTTGCTTTAGTTTCTCCTTCAAGGATTTTGCAGCCCCTCACCATCTTTTGGTGACCCAGCTTTCTTGTAACAGTCCCCCCTCACCAACAGGCGGCATACCTGTACACAGGAGCAGGGGACACACAGGAAATACTTCCAGCGCCTTGTTACTGAAGCAGCAGTGCCCCCCTCTCTGTCTAATGGCTAACGTCTGCCTTCTCATTGCACTTGTCCTCGTCGTGAGAAGTACATGCTTATCTCCTGAATACACTCCGGCTGCATGTATGCTAGTAAAACTTCTAAGACTCCTAACTGCAGGTGTAATAATGGGACTGAATGTTGAGAAGAATCATTTTCACTATAATGTAGAATAAGGAGGCCAGTATCTAGGGGATTGTTAAATACTTTTTATTTACTAAATTGCATTGAAATTCCTGATAGGAATAGTTTTATTCATTGCTTGCATCTCAGAGCAAGTACTTTGTCACATGCTGAATTCAGAATCTACCATGTGTAGGAAATAAATCAATACTAAATGTTTTTAAAAATAGAAAGAGTAGCTTCATTATAAAATTCTACTTGAACTTCCTGAATAAACAGCAGATGTTAGCCACATGGCAAGAGGTGCACCAAGATAATGTTTTTTACTGAGCATAGTAAGCACCTCCAGTGATCCAACATGTTAAAATTATTTATGTCATACAACAAAACAACTAGAAACCTTGTGGAAGTGGAATTTCAAATGTGAAACAACTAGTGTTACTTTTTATACATTGCACACAAATTTTGGAGTGTTAAGAATCAGTCCAAACTATCTGCACTTACAGTGCAGTTAGTGCAAATAGTGCAATTCAGACACCATAATGCTTTCTCTCTTATGCAGTATTCCCCTCCCAAAGGATGCTACCTAATATGGAGCTAGACACACAGCAAGAAATTGTATTTAGCATCTTTTAAATCTGAAATTATTTGAAATTTTAGAACACCTGGAATATAGATATTCTATATATAATCATCATAGCATAATTTTCACCTCTTTATGATAATCTACAAAGTTCTGACCTACTGTCAAGAATTCTTCAACCAATTAGATGTCTTCTTTTGGTGTTGTATGAAACATTAATTTAAATAGTAAAAATATAATGCTGTTTTAATTATTCCATCTACAAAATATTATAGAATAAATCTTAATCTAAAATATTTGATAACTTGATCTTTTTTTATCAAAACTGGAAAATTTACATCCCCCTGTCTTTTTTGACATTATGTTCCTAAGCAGTTGGTACTTGGTGTATTATAGCTAACCTTTTTAGACAGTTGTCTTCCAAAGAAAGGGAAGATATTAACCCCATATGGTATCTGACAAGACAGTAACTTCTTTATTAATAAAATAACGTGTTTGAGTGGTTTGTTAAAAGCTTCCTTTGTATTAAAAACTCATAGCTCAGAAGAAGCTTTCTTGCTTGATATGATACTCAGCTGGCCCAAGAAAGGGTTTTATTAGAACTGGTGGTTTCACTGTTTGTTGTACCTCCTTC